TTTGCCGACGATATAGTCCTTATGGCAGAATCGCTGGAGGACCTTAGCACTATGCTCAATGACCTCAGTGGTGTCTCCCAACGGATAGGTCTTAATATGAACATGGACAAAACAAAGATCATATTTAATGTCCATGTCACACCTATTCCGGTAGTTGTTGAGAGCACTACGCTCGAAGTTGTTGATGAGTACATTTACCTGGGACAAATAGTCCGACTAGGTAAGTCCAACTTCGACCGAGAGGTCAATCGACGGATTCAACTCGGCTGGGCAGCGTTCGGAAAATTACGACACATCTTCTTGTCAGGTATACCTTAATATCTGAAAACTAGATTGTACAACCAGTGCGTGTTGCCAGTGATGACTTACGGATCTAAGACGTGGCCCTTCACTGCTGGCCGTATGAGGACACTCATGGTCGCTCAGCGAGCTATGGAGAGGGCTATGCTCGGTGTTTCTCTGCGTGATAAACTCAGAAATGAAGATATCCGCAGTAAAACCAGAGTGACCGACATAGCCCAGCGGATTAGTAAGCTGAAGTGGCAATGGGCCGGCCATATAGCTCGAAGAACCGATAACCGATGGAAGAAAGGTTCTTGAGTGGCAGCCTCGTACCGGTAGGCGTAGTTTAGGGCGACCACCCACTAGATGGACTGACGACCTAGTAAGATATGCAGGAAGTCGATGGATGCAGGTGGCTCAGGACCGTGCTTTGTGGCATTACTTGGGGGGAGGCCTATGTTCAGCAGTGGACTTGTGAAGGGCTGTAATGATAATGATGATGATGAATCCTTTATCTAATACTAATAATATTTGATGTGCGAGATATCTCTCTCACACTCAAGCGGCTGCAATCGACCATACCCAGTACAAATAGACTCGGATACATTAGAGGAAAACAAGGATAGATTCAGTACTGCTTGAAAAAAAATTGTATATTTATTATGAGTTTTTTATGAACATGACACGATTTGCTTTCATGTAAATTCCAAATAATACACTTACAATCAAGTGGATCGTGTAGTCATTGACTTTATTAAGCATTTATAGAAATGCCTGAAATTATTTTAAACAATGTTTATGCAATAAGTGTCGTAAGGGGTAATTGAGGAAAGTGAAATGGGAGATGGACAAACACAAAATAATAAGAAACTGCCGTTAACAATCCACCTGCTAAGCGTGGCGACTATGGCCAATATCTTCCCTGCTAGGTAATCTATTGTCGGGGGCTATGTTCATTAGTAGTGAATTTTACCATTATCTTCCAATGCCATGAGACCTTCCTGGCTTTGGCAATAGTCATCTCTGACGACACCTATAGGATAAAAAAGGAAATAAATTATCTTACATCACCATCATATGGCAGTTAATATAAATTGGGAAATACCAATATGAATATGGACATATTGTGACACGTAACCTCCCGTAAGATCAGAGAGGTCGCGACATGTTATACTCCCGTTCGCTCGGGACCTTAAAATGGCAGAAAATGAAAATTTTTCCCTAACTTGCAAATTCTGCTATATTTTCACTTTGAGACAATATTTTTGGATAAAACTTAAAGGAATTCTTCTTGAGTGTATAAACTATCGAATAAAATAATTTTTAGATTGTAGATATAGTAATAACATTCATAAATTACCCTTTAAAAAGCATAGTAGTAGTAGATACTTCACTTTTAGCCACGAAAATATTAATAAAATAATTTCTACAAGTTTGTTTTTTGAGAAATCTATATGAAAATGTTTGGAAACAAATATAATTTTATGTTTTTATGTGTTTTTATTCGTAACCCGGACAAAAAAAAACAAATAAATAGGAATCAAACATAACCCTTATTTTCCGAAATTCAATTCAATTATATGAACTTTGCTTTTTATGCCGTGTAGTGGCGGTTGAGAATATCCACTACCCCATATCTTCCCGTGGGTGTCGTAAGAGGCGACAGAGGGAGACAGGCAGGAGATGGGCAGCAGCATCTTCCTGATAACAACTGTGATATAATAAAAAACTGCGGTTGCCAACCCGCTCGCCAAGCGTGGTAACTATGGCAAATATCCCCCCATGAATAACTATGCAAAAAAACGGCCCCCAATCCCTGGCGGCCCCGCTATTCCTGGCTACGGTGGCGAACATGGTAACAGCGAGGCAGGGGGTGCTAAGAATCTCCGGTGGAGGTTCGGTTGCCACCTACAACGATTCGACCTGGCAACATATAACGCACGCACCCTGAGGACTGACGAGAAGATACTGGAGCTGGAAGAAGAGGTAGACAAGTTGCGCTGGCATATTATTGGATTATCCGAGGTCCGAAGAGAGGGGGAGGACACGACAATCCTTGAGTCCGGCAACTTGTTCTACCACCGAGAGGGCGACCATCTGTCCCAAGGAGGTGTCGGATTTATCGTCCACAAGTCCCTCGCCAACAACGTTGTAAAGATTGGGAGTGTGTCGACGAGGGTCGCGTGCCTGATACTCAAAATCACCAAACGGTATTCGCTGAAGGTCATACAGGTTTACGCACCAACCTCGGCACATCCCGATGAGGAGGTGGAGGAAATGTATTAGGATATTTCCAGAGCTATGCATTCCTCCAAAACCCACTACACGGTGTTGATGGGAGACTTCAACGCAAAACTAGGCGCAAGAGAAAGCGGTGAGCTGAAGGTAGGGAAATTTGGAGTAGGGCAACGGAACCGAAGGGGCCAGCAGCTGGCCGACTTTATGGAGAAAGAGGGACTCTTTATGATGAACTCTTTCTTCCAGAAGCGACCCCACAGGAAGTGGACCAGCAGGGCTATTCACAATCGCCTCGGAAAGGCAAATCGACTCGGATTCGATAACTTTTCGAACGGAAACAATGAAACGCTATTCACATTCGCCGTTCGGATGAATTTGACATTCGTTTTCGGGAATTGTGACAGTTCGCATCGAAAACTTTACCGAGACCCCTGAGGCTGGCGAAAACTTAAATATTGGTAATTAAAATAGATAAATAAGCTTTTCTAAGTATAAGGTACGTAACATAAATTAATTGCAATTATGTATAAAACATTTTTTCATATAATTACTTCAATATTCTTCTTCATTCATTCATTATTAATCTTCAGCCTTCTTAGCATTGTGGGAAAACTGTATGCTAAGGTACTGATTGAAAGGGTCGTGAAAGAAACTGATGGAAAAATTTGGGATGTGTAAGCGGAATTTAGAAAGGGAATGTGATGTACAGATCAAGTCTTTTCCATGCGCATGATCGCGGAGAAGTTTCTGGCCAAAAACCAAAAGGTTTTTTGTGCGTTCATGGATTTGGAAATGGCCTATGATAGAGTGGATAGGGATTTGCTATGGCAAACACTCAACTCTTTTGGGTTGAGCGCTGGCTTGATAAAGGCATTGAAGTCTCTTTTATAGGGACTCTAGTGCTTGTGTTAGGATCAACGGGGTCTACTCGGACTGGTTTGACATCCATAAAGGTGTCAGACGGGTTGTGTGGCTTCCCCGTGGCTGTTCAACCTATTTATGGACAGTTGTTTGCAAAATTTGAAAGTTGAAGAATGCGGATTAAGAATGGGTGGTTAACTCAAATGCCTTTTGTACGCCGATATCAAGTTATCCTTGCGTCGTCGGCGGCCGAGTTGCAAATGATGGTTACATTAATGAACAGATCATTTTAAGAAAGGGGTATGAAAGTGAACGCAAGTAAGACGAAGGTTATGGTTTTTGAAAGAGAAGAAAGTAAAACGATTTGTGAAATAAGAATAGAAGGGGAGTTGATCTAGCAAGTAGATGAGTTTGTATATTTGGGCTGCGTATTTAGCAGAGATGGGAGATATGATAAGGATATAGAACGACGAGTGAATGCGGGAAATAGAGTAAATGGGGCCCTGCACTCTATTGTGAAGAGTCAAAATGTGTCGAAAAAGGCACGTATGGCAATTCACAATGCTGTGTTGGTCCCTACTTTAACGTATGGTAGTGAAAGTTGGGTGTGGCAGAAGAAGCACGAGAGTAGAATAAACGCAGTAGAAACGCGGTCGTTAAGGAGTATGTTAGGGCTGAATCTGAATGACAGGGTAAGAAATTGTGTAATAAGAGAAGAGTGTGGTTTGCAAGATGATGTTGTGACCAGGATTAAGAAAGGAATGCTTCGGTGGTTTGGTCATGTGGAAAGAATGAATGAGGAAAGAGTAACAAAGAAAATTTATGGTGCAGAAGTGAATGGCAGAGTCGGAAAGGGACGTCCTAGGCGAAAATTTATCGACCAAATTGGCAATTTATTGAAAACGGGCCAAATTAGGAGTACCCTTAACCGACGAGCATGTATCCGTAGGTGTATGGATGTGAAGGAGGCAAGAGAGGTGTGTCAGGATCGTGCCAAATGGAAGTCTGTAGTCTCTGCCTACCCCTCTGGGTGACAGGCGTGAGTGTTTATAGTTATAGTTTTGTGAATATTTGGAATTAAGGTGTGTTTTTATAAGTTTTCTATCTCTAATTTTACAGATATAAGCAATGTCTGGCATAGTAGCATTAATTCTTCATAGGCGAGTCCGCAACCACGAAAAAGAGAAGCTACGGATGCAAACAATGATCCGAAACAAACGGTTTCGCAATTTGTCGAATCCGTATAAGGACCCAAACTTCCATTTGACTTACCGACTCACCCCGGACTTGGCCTTGGCTATTGTGAACGATTTAAAGCCTGTTTGGCAACAACATCAATATTCAAGCTCACTTCCTATATAACTAAAGGTAAATAGGTATCTAGATAGTAAACTCAGTACCGTACCTAAGTTGTTACTTATTTTAATTCTCTTTTGGTACTTAGCTACTCTGCGCGTTACATTTTTTCGCACAAGGCTCCTATTAAAAAAAGTTTAACAAAGGATGTGGACTTCAAAGTTAGCCAGCCTACTTCCAGTAGAGCCATTAGAGAGGCAGTAGCCACACTAAATCAACCTAAAATTATCAAAAAATGGATTAATTTTCCAAATCGTCCTCAAATGGAAGCAACTGTTTTAAGGTAAATCTCAAGATTTAAATGACATAGGTACATATAGCATACTTATTCATAGGAATCTGTAGGTAGGTATTATCATGTATAATATCTGTATCAATAAGAAACTAAAATACAAAAATTATGGTGATCTTTCCCGATGCAAATTTAAATTAGGTACCTTTATTTTCATTGCATTGGGTGACAAACGAGCACAGTCTATGTAATGGTAAGTGGATTCCGTGGCTCATAGACATTCACATTTATTCTCAATTAAGTATCAAAATGTAAATGTTTTGTCACCCCTGAAGACAAAGTTGGAATGCCTTTATTCCAGTAAAAAGGGTCTCCAATTTTCTACACTCACCATACAAAACACAACAGCATTACGCTGGTATTCTATGAGTGTGGTCCTTCCCCCTGGTCAAGCCGACCCATTCATGCTACAACTATAATGTAGCTGCAGCGTGGCTACCACATAACAAACCTGCTACCATCACGAAATAATCCATGTGGTTTTCATTCAGTAGGCAACTAAGGGACTGACCAGGTTACAGACAGCAGCAGTATGTGCCGTCTTCCTAAAATACCCAAAGCAGCTAAGAGTGAGATATAAGGCTATACCCCTTATGAGAAGTTTGTGCACATAAGTAGCAGTGGGACATAAACATGTTTAAAAGTATTTTGTCAGAAAACTTCATAAATAATAAATACTTTCATATTACATAAATGGTTTATTATTTTAACATGTCAACATTTAAATAAGAAATTACAACAAATTATTAAAATTTTAAAAACTATAACTATAATAATGTAAAAATAAATAAAAAATAACAATTATCTTCTAAGTAGGAACCTAATTACCTTGACAAACATAGTTTTATCCTTCGAATGTCTAAGAAGCTAGTATCACAATCAGTCTTATTTTCATTTGCAGAAATTACCAAAAATTCGGAATTCCTGAAGTATTGGGCTATATTGATGGCAATCAGAAGCCAACACAACATGAAGAACTTTATGTATATAGAAAGGGTGAACACACCCTTAATGCACAAATGGTAAATAAATTAAATTTCACCACATGGCTGCACTCGGTTTTGTTGATCCCTCCGAACTGTGTCATTTATATTTAAGTACAAATACCTTACAAAAAATTAAGGACATTGGTTTTGAATTTTAATAATAAGATCATTATGACTTCTGTATATTAATTATGCAAGTGACCTAAACTGTGTATTAATTGAATTCGCTTTTCAAAGGTTTGTGACAGTTCCTTAAAATTATTAAACGTGTTTGCACGATATCCTGGTGCAACACACGATTCCTTTATATGGAGGTTTAGTGCACTACAAAAGGTGATGATGAACCTTAATGGTGAAGGTAATGCTGGCTTCTAGGTGTTGCAATAAACAATATTGTCGATAAATCTGAAACAAACAATCTCAATTAAAACAGTATTTGCAATGTTCTAGTTGTTTATTTGAATTACAGGTGATTCCGGATATCCCTTGGAGCCATGATCCTTAATGCTGAAGAAAACACACCTCAAAGTCAATATATCAACATACATATAAGGTCAAGGAACAGTATTGAGAGGTGTTTCGGTGTTCTTAAGTCAAGGTTTTGATGCTTACTAAGAAAAATGGAGTATGAACCAACAAAAGTAGGCTGCATTGTAAATGCATGTGCAGTTTTACACAATGTCTGCATAACAGCAGGACTTAGTTTTCTCGACACAGTTGATGAAGAGGCTTTAGCACCAGAAGCGAGTACAGCAGATCATTATGGAGAGATACAAATATATGAGCGGGGTCTTCAAGTGCGACAACAATTAATAGAAAGATCATTTTATTAATAACAATTTATAAATAATTATTTGTTTATAATCTTTTATTCTTTTAATTAAACTTAAATAATTCATACTAATCAAAATTATTTAATTATATTGACCTACCTTAGATTAAATTTCATTCATCACTTTTATTGGCCATGGATTTGAGGGCTGCAGCAAAATTATTTATGGCTGCAGCCAAATTATTCATAGACTGTGAGAGCGTATTCATGGCTGCAGCCTGAACTTCCAGACACACTTCAAGTCTATCTTCTACAACAACATACAACATATTAAGACATGAAATAAAAACTAAACAATAAAAAGTAATCAATATAATTACGTTTTTTCGTTGTTTTTCTATCATCCACAACCGGATTGTGGACATCTTCGTCACCACCAGCTTCTACTTCTGCATCACCTTCAGGAATCTGTAAAGACAAAACGAAATGAAACTGTAGATCCTTCCTACCTCTCTCACTTATAAATGGGGTTAGGGATCTCTATCAGTTGTATATATATACACAAGAATATGCAGATGCACCTTTCTTTAGAATGAGTTTATTCTATTGTGGACTCATACTGCTAGATATTTAATAGTAAATTTTGAATAACTATGAACATACATTTAGCAACTTATTAATTTTTGTAATAAATATTTGTTGTTTGGTACAAATACAAGTTACACTACAAAGCTGCATTTTTTTTATGAAATCGAAAGGAAGCATGGATAGTACTGAATCCTAAAAATTAAATATGAATTTGTAGTACCTGTAAGGTATCAGCAACGGCAAGGCCCTCTGCTGCTTCGTGGCCAATAAATGCCATTAGAGATTCCTCCATGGCAGATAAGGGTGCAGGTCCAGGCCCTCCACCAGTCTGCTGCTGAGCACGGTGGATTTTGGCAGCTTTACATTTAACATCGCTGCACCAGTCTTGCCAACACTATCAAATATTTGCATTAATAAAGGTTAGAATGCACAAACCGGCGACGAGGCTCGCCACCCGTCACGTTCTGTCTCCCGGAGGGGCGAAAAGTGGATTGCAGAGGCCCGTCTGGCTACGTTGAATGTATGTGGAGCAATGAATGATAAAATGGGTGAAGTATGCGAGGTGATGTATGATAGAGGAATAGATTTGTTATGTGTAAATGAGACGAAACGGAAGGGGAAGGATGTCACTACACATGGCATGTATACCGCATACTGGTCTGGTGTAGACGAGCTCGAGCGGGCATGCCAGGGAGTAGGGATCATCCTATCAGAAAGAATGGTGCAATGTGTGAAAGAGTATGAATGTGTAAGCCCAAGACTGCTATGGATACGATTGAAAGTGGGCTTAAAGAAGTTGTTTGTACTAGGGGTCTACGCCCCAGACATGTCTAAGCCCACTCATATCCGAGAGCAGTTTTGGGAAATGGTAAGGATGGTATTAATGAAATGTAAGGGAAATGAAAATGTTGTTATGCTAGGAGATTTTAATGGAAGAGTTGGGGGTGAGGAGGCTTGGTTATGAAAGGATATTGGGAACGTTTGGTGATGAAAGTATAAATGAGAATGGTGAAAGCCTCCTCACTGTATGTATGGAAAAGAATCTTTTTGTGACGAACACTTTCTTTCGCCACAAGAGGATTCACATGTACACTTGGGAAAGAGGTGATGATAGAAGCATGATAGATTTCATAATTGTGGATGAAAGATTGAGGGGCGCAGTGGTGGATACAAGGGTTTACCGGGGGTCAAACGTAGGAACGGATCATTTTTTGGTTTTATGCCGAATTAATGGTCTATTCAGGCGGTGGCGCCATCGGTCATCCGTGTCTACCACTGCGTTACAGCGTATTAGAACAGAAAGATTACAAGATGAAGGTGAGAAAAACAAGTTTAAATGTAGACTGAAAGAAAACGTAAGTGGTTTGGATGAATTATGTATGAATGAGTTAGACTTGGAGAATGTATGGCAAAATGTTCAGAAAGGTTTAGTAGATGCAGCTACCGAAGTATGTGGTGTTAGTAAAAGAAAGAATGAAAGGAAAAATAATACGTTATGGTGGGATGATGAGATACGTACGGAAGTTGAAGCAAAGAAGAGAGCATGGCTAGATTTACTAGCAACTAAGGCTGGTAATTCAAGTGGTACGAATGATGATTTTGAAAGAAAAAAGGCAGTCTTTAGACATCTAAATAAAAGAGTAAAAGAAGTAGTTGAAAGGAAAAAGCAAGAAAGAACGGATAAGAATGATAGAAGAATATCGGATAACTTCCAGGCAAATATTAAAATGTTCTGGAAACTCGTAAGAACTGCCAGGGGATGTTCAAAACAGCCTATAATGAATGCTATAAGAGATGAGAATGGCTATATTCTGAATGATGAAGTTTTGAGTTTAAAGAGATGGAAGGAATATTTTGAAAGCATGTTTATGAGTGAGGAGACAACGTATGAACTGAATGAAATAGGAACTCCGAAAGAAGAGGAAGAAGGTAGCGAGATAAGTATAGATGAAATAATGAAAGCAATGAGAAGCATGAAAGCAGGTAAGGCTGCCGGATATGATAGAGTTTCACTCGAAATGCTAAGGGCTGGAGAGGAAGTGGTGGCAGGCCTGCTGCACACCTTGTTTAATTTATGCTGGGAACTGAAGCGGGTACCGGGAGACTGGTGCAAAGCCGTGATAGTCCCAGTATATAAGGGAAAAGGGTCGCAGCAGGACTGTAAAAACTACCGCGGTATCAGCCTTCTTAGCATCGTGGGAAAACTGTATGCCAAGGTACTAATTGAAAGGGTCATGAAAGAAACCGATGGAAAAATTTGGGATGTGCAAGCGGGATTTAGAAAGGGAATGGGATGTACAGATCAAGTCTTCTCCATGCGCATGATCGCGGAGAAGTTTTTGGCCAAAAACCAAAAGGTTTTTTGTGCGTTCATGGACTTGGAGAAGGCCTATGACAGAGTGGATAGGAATGTGCTATGGCAAACACTGAACTCATTTGGGTTGAGCGCTGGCTTGATACAGGCATTGGAATCTCTTTATAGGGACTCTAGTGCTTGTGTTAGGATCAACGGGGTCTACTCGGACTGGTTTGGCATCCATAAAGGTGTCAGACAGGGCTGTGTGGCTTCCCCGTGGTTGTTCAACCTATTTATGGACAGTTGTTTGCAAAATTTGAAAGTTGAAGAATGCGGATTAAGAATGGGTGAGTTAACCATCAAATGCCTTTTGTACGCCGATGATCAAGTTATTCTTGCGTCGTCGGCGGCTGAGTTGCAAATGATGGTTACATTAATGAACAGATCATTAAAAGAAAGGGGTATGAAAGTGAACGCAAGTAAGACAAAAATTATGGTTTTTGAAAGAGATGAAAGTAAAACGATATGTGAAATAAGAATAGAAGGGGGAGTTGATCGAGCAAGTAGATGAGTTTGTATATTTGGGTTGCGTATTTAGCAGGGATGGGAGATATGATAAGGATATAGAACGACGAGTGAACGCAGGAAACAGAGTAAATGGAGCCCTGCACTCTATTGTGAAGAGTCAAAATGTGTCAAAAAAGGCACGTATGGCAATTCACAATGCTGTGTTGGTCCCTACTTTAACGTATGGTAGTGAAAGTTGGGTATGGCAGAAGAAGCACGAGAGTAGAATAAATGCAGTAGAAATGAGGTCGTTAAGGAGTATGTTAGGGCTGAATCTGAATGACAGGGTGAAAAATTGTGTGATAAGAGAAGAGTGTGGTTTGCAAGATGATGTTGTGACCAGGATTAAGAAAGGAATGCTTCGGTGGTTTGGTCATGTGGAAAGAATGGATGAGGAAAGAGTGACAAAGAAAATTTATGTTGCAGAAGTGAATGGCAGAGTCGGAAAGGGACGTCCTAGGCGAAAATTTATCGACCAAATTGGCGATTTATTGAAAACGGGCCAAATTAGGAGTACCCTTAACCGACGAGCATGCATGCGTAGGTGTATGGATGTGAAGGAGGCGAGAGAGGTGTGTCAGGATCGTGCCAAATGGAAGTCTGTAGTCTCTGCCTACCCCTCTGGGTGACAGGCGTGAGTGTTTATGAATGAATGAGAATGCACATTTGTAGGCATACATAAAAAAGTTGGCTTTAAGCGATCCACTAGACTAGCACTACAATATGCATGAACTTGTAGCACCTAAACACAGACATACCTTTATCCATTTCTCGGAGCTTTTTGTTGCTCCTGTGGCACAGCTGTTCAAAATTGTGGCTAGTTCTGTCTGCAGTTTTAATTTCCTACGGGCAGCATCTGCGCCGGCAACCCGATTTCGGGATGCGCCACCATGAATTCAAACATTTTTTCACGCTGCTCGTAGGAAACACGTGATCCTTTTTGCTGAAATACAAAAAAAAATATATGTAAAATTAGTTTTAATGAAGACTAGACTAAATAGGTAAAACTTTTAATGAACATTTGCAATCGTTTTTTTTTTTTAAATTTCTTTGCTCACAGAAGTATGAATATATTTTTAATAATTAACAAACTTATTAGGTACTAAAATCAAAGAAATCAAGATGTAACACTCAGATGAAGTAAAAAAGGTA